TTTCACACTGGAAATTCTGGAACCTCAATTGACGTCATACTTTTTATGTTCTGATAATATCTGGAGGAAACAGTACACTGGATCAAGAAAACAAAAGCAAATTTTTAGTTAAAATTCTCCATGTGCTGTGTAAAAGGAAGGCGGCTGCAGCATGGAACACACAGGGCAGCTCAGCATTTTACAAACCTTTTTTTGACTACAGCTGAAATTGCACCAGCAGAGCAATGCTACTAAAAATAAACAAGCACCCCTTTTTTTGCCTCATCTCCTCTATCTTACCCAGTAAAATTGTGCAACAGTAGTCACTGAATTTCCTCTCACACAAAAGCCAATTCTGATCAATGGCAGACATGTTAAATTTCTTCTAGTAAAATAATGCCACTTCCTTAATATCACCCTAGTTGTGTTTCACTGATTCCTCATACCCAGTATAAAAATTTTGTGTGATGCAAAGGGGCTGAACTTCCCAGACACAGATATCTGGTCTTTTCTATGGGTGAGGAAATCCAGGAAACTGATTCCGCATCATGGAAGACAACTCCAGCCAATACTATTGCTGAAGGAGGTGGGAAAAGCCAAAAAATGAGCACAGATTGTAGAGGTTGTTTGTTTACAGAGGTAAGTTTTCCATTTAATGCAACCAGGTAAATATGAAGAAAGAGAAATAGCTCTTTAGATGGGGTGGGGGGAATCTACCTGGAGAAGAAGGCTGATTGGAGTTTTGTTATTCTATCATCTCCAACAGAAATTCCCAATGGATGACCAAGTAAGGTTAGACCAGCAGACAGAAGAGAGCCCTTCCTGTATTGAGAAAGTGCATGGCTGCCTGTCCTCATGTCCAGAGAATGTGTCCTGTGCTTCAGAGGCACCAGGTGAAAGACTTTCAATCTCTCTTGATTTGTGACCTCCAAAACTTCTCACTAGAAGTGAAGGTGAAAATCCCCACACAGACAGTGCAAGCCTACTGATAATTGTTTTGTTCTTTCACTTTCTCACCTCTTGGACATAGCTCACATAAATTTGCCAACATTGCTATAGGCAGACCTTAATAGTGAAACTTGTGTTACTTACACTGATTTTCAAGCTGCAAGTTATTGTCAATGTCAAAAAGATCATCCCTAAACAAAATCAAAATTCTCACCCCATTTCCTATTGTCCTTCAGCCCACCTAGTGTGTCTCATAGCAGTCTAAGCAGATCTCTTCCAACTCCAGGCAGAACAATAATCACTTTGCAAGTGAATTCAACACTTCACAAACTGCAGATCAGAATCATATGATTTGTGTTTCTTAGATGAGAAGCCAACAAACTTCTCTGTGGAGTCAAGTGGACAGTCCTTTGTCATCTTGAGTAATAGCAAACACATTTACATTTTAATACACAAATAGGAAAATAATGAGTTACTGTTACTTGTTCACAAAGCAGGCTTACCTTTTAAAAAGCTGTCAAGGGATTATTGAATTGCATAAATTATTTAATTTTTCTCTATAACCCACCTCTGAAGCAGGAATGAGCTCAAGAGCCCCTGTAAACACTTAAAAGATGGAGGAGGAAATGCTTAGAATGCAAAGAATATTTTTATTTTTCTTGTAAGACAGATTACTCTTTCTGTATAACTTGCTGGCATCAAGCACCAATGAGAACAATTGCTTTGGTGTGCATTTTTGCCTATGGAAAAGGGCTACAAATTTAAATGCTAAAACAGTTACCAATGAGAAATGTCACCTGGCTAGGCAGTTCAACCTAATTAGTTAAACAGATTTATTTTTAAACCATAGAAACAACATGTTCCTTGGGAGAATTATTTTTCCCCTTCCCCAAATAAATACAATTAACATTTGGCAAGTAGAATAATTCTTCTGCAATTAAGGACTTGCCAAAATTAGATAAAGTAACGTACTCAAAAACACACTGGGGCAAGAGTGTCGCTGAGAGCATCTCCCAGAGCTGTGCTTCTGGAAGAGGAAGAAATGTTCCATACAGGACTTGTCACCAACAAGCCTGCATGCCTGTGATACTTCTTCCTAAAGCCTGAGCAGCCTTGAACCCTTGTGGGGATGAGGCTGGCATGCTGGAAGCCCTCCCATGGCATCTCACCATCTGTGTTCTTCCCTGCCCTCGGCAAATGCCAGCAGCACTTGTGAAGGGAAGGCACGTAAGTAACGCAGACCCACAGCAGCAGGGCAAGCTCAGCAAGGAGGCAGGGGGAAGAAAACACATCAATTTGAAGGCTCAAGGTAGGAAAAAATACAGGTAAGCATGGGTTTGGTTTTAAGTTGCCTGCAAGTCCACTCACATGGAGCCTGTGCTGGAATGGATCTGATGGGCTATGGCCAAAACAGACACAAACCTACCTCTGACCCAGAATTTTCTCTAGGTAAAGGCTCTTTTTCTTCTTACGTGACCTGGTTCACTGAAATAAATTATTATTTTCCCATTCCTCCTAACAACAGTAAGCATGGTGCTGGGGCTCAGCTCGACAAGCAGCACCCTGTCTGTGGTGCTTACAGGAGCCTGTGGCACCCCAGAAAAACAAACCAGCTCATGAGCAGCATCCAAGGGTCAGTTGAGCTTGTCCTAATCCAGGACAGGCTGTAATTAAACCTTGCCAATCATCCCTCTTGTTTTGGCAACGCTAGGCATAGAAGCTACCAGTGGGGTAGATCTTCGGCTTAAAGGGCCATTTTGGCCCAATTTGTCATAACGTTGGGGTTTAGGAAATAAAACAAATGGCGTCTTTGCATGACACAAAGCTTCTCACAGTGTATTAGTTTATTTTCAAGAGCCAAGGTGGGAGAAACCTTTAAAGACTCTTAAATACCTAAGACAGAATGGCAGAAAAACCTTTTCCAGCAAGCCAGACCCCAACAGCTCAAACAAGTTCTCCCAGCTTGCTCCAACTGTGAGATGAGGCACATGAAGCTCCACTGGCTTCACGTACCTCACCTCACAGTCTGCCCGTGTTATTCATGGCCAGAATAATGTTATGGCACTGCCTTGAGGCCCTGGTTCTCAAGAGACTAGCTGCACATGCAGTTAACTTCAATAAGATTTGATTTCATAGAGCTAATCTGCAGCCCCTAAGTCTGTTCAGCAGGGAGCTTCTGCTCACTCCAGGCAAGTGTCAAACATATATAAGAACACTTTCAAAGCTGGGCAGCAAATTTTAGAAACAAGAAAGTTCCCAAGTTCAAAACCATCTATGACAGACTGGAAAGTCTGTATCTACTTTAAAGGTAACTTCCCTTGGAAAACCAGAAAAACACATCTTAGAATAAATATGAAAATATTATCATTTAATAATATTCTTTATTCCTGCAGTATAATGCTGATAAATAATGACTTAAGAATACAAAACTCAGCACAGTGTTCAAAACCTGACTCTGCAAGCATGCTGGACAAGGGATTTTGTTCTATTCTGTGGGCTTCTTTCCTCTCTTGCACTTAAAAAATAAAGACAGCAAATTTCTTTGAACTTACATAATTCAAGCATGTTATTTTCCATAGGGCTAAACTGGCCTTTTAAATTCTTTAAGCTTGGCATTGTATGAAAGCAGATATCAAATATTCAGAGAGCTCAATTTAGAAAGATCATTTTTCTGAGGCTGAGCCTTTCTGAAGAGCTTCCTGCAGTGCTCCAGACAATGCCGCAAACTGCCACTCCCATCATGCTGAGGTCACTTAACCTTGCCAGGCCATGTTTTTGGAGGCCTTGGGCCAAAGGGAGGTATGGGTCTGTGTGAAAGGTGGGAAGGGTACAGCGTGTGAGGGGCCAGAGAATCCAACTGCTGCGAACAATGACAATTTGCTAAGATCAACCTGTTTTGCACAATGAGTGGTTGAGAACCATGTCTTGTTCACGCGTGAAAAACAACAATGCACAGTCCTGTGTCACTGCCTTTTATCAAAATCTACCTCTTCAAGTTAAAATCAGAGTTCATGAACACCAGTGAAGAGATGCCCCATGTGAATTAATTGGCTGTATGAAGAATCTTGGTCATCTCCAGTCAGTGGCAAAGCACAAGGCTGAAGCACCCACTGCTGCTGTATCTTGTTTTACTCATTATTTCTAGAGTACCCGGTAGATGCAGCCTGAACACAGCACTGCAGGACCTCTTCCTTCACACAGACAAGGATGTGTTCAAGGCAGGAGAAGGGTTGCTCCTTCCTCCCTGAGCCTTGCCACACCACTCGTAGATACAGAGGGGATGCTTGGATCAGGACCAGCTCAATGCCTGCTTTAAGACAGCAGTTTTTCCAACAGGGCTCAGAATCCACTTGTTTTCTTTGCATCCTAAAAGGTCTCTCATCCTGCCTCACAGCTGGCTCCTTGGTCTTGCAGGTGAAAGACTTAGTGTAGAAAGTGGAGGGAAGCCACTGGTGGCAGAATGGGCACTGGTAGTCCAGTCTCACATGCCAGGCCAGAAGAATCATAAAGCAGAAAGAAATTTGGTCCTTCACCCAGAAGGCCAGAAAGAAATTTGGTCCTTCACCCAGAAGCAGGCCATCATAGAACAGTCTGGGTTGGAAGAGACTTTAAAAGATCATCTGGTTCCAACATCTCTGTCATGGGCAGGGACACTTCACCAGACCAGGTGCTCAGAGTCCCATCCAGCCTGGCCTTGAACACTTCTCAGGATGAGCCATCCACCGGCCTGAGGGACCTGTTCATGTGCCTTCTCACCCTGACAGTAAAGAGTTTCTTCCATTTATCTGACCTGAGCCTGCTGTGTTTGCAATACCCTTGGATGAAGGGCAACACTGGATTTATTAGTTACTGCTCATTATTAAACATGGCTTACCCCAAACTCGCTGTAAAATCAGAAAACACCAAAAGCACATGGTCAGCTTAGACAAAACATGAACCCTCTGCCTTCATGCACTATGTAGCTAGGAAGATGTCCTGTTTTATGCAGCATGAAGTTAGGAAGCACAACTAACACAGAGGGTTTTAAGAGCTTAAATCTGTTACAATAATTGCATTAGATGTATTTTTAATACCTTTTCCAATGCTTCTCTGTCAGCCAGCTCCTGCACAGCCAAAAGCTTGATACTGTAAGAAAAAACAGAGCGAAGAGAATTAATCACTCTACTGCAGGAATTACAGAAATCGTAGAAACAACAGAACTGAAGCCCTGTTTTTATCTTCTCTCTTGACAAAAGAAGTACAAGAAAAGCTCCTGATGGAACAAAATAAAGCAAAAGAGACAATGTCACTTTGTTTGCCTTGAGTTAGCTATCACAAGCAGATTTTTTTTTGGTTTCCAAGTTACAAGTGTATCTGAATTCACCTTACAGAGAAAATGCATCAATCGTTACTTGTGTAATATTCCAAATTAACACCAAAGGATCTTATGAATGACAAGCACAGAAAAATATTCTAGACATTTCTATCAGTTGTAGTCAGCTTTGTTCCTCTGTGTCAACAGGTTCCTACAAGTCCCAGAAAGCCATTCCTAGGGATTCACAATATTATATATGAGGTGCAGTAAGTAAAACAACCCAGCTTAAGAAATTTGAAGGAGAGATGAGGGAAATGTGCACCACCATTTAAAATTAGGATAGAAAGGTAATAATTATTATTCTTGTAATGCTCTTTGCTAATCAATCCCAAATTTCTTCACCTACTGAATCTTTTCTAAATTTACCTCTAGAGGCTAAATCCTGCACACTCTATTTCATTCACTTCAACGAGCTTATGAGATTCACTCAAACAGGATTCTACACCTGTATTGCAACTTCACAGGCTCACTTCCCTTACCCAGCCTTAAACCCAGCCACTTAATATATTATCCTTGGACTCCAGAGGATAATTTCCTTTACCCAGAGATACAAAAACATTTGCATACCAATAGAAGAATCAAATGATGCATATAAATATTGTTTAAATTACTCTCACCACCCTGCACAGAGACACAGTAAAAAGCCAGTATAGTTAAAAGCTCATATTCAAGAAGGTGTGAATAGTCAACATAGAAGCCTACCAAAGGATATAATACAAAAAAGTTTTATTAGCCTTTCAGAACCTCAGAGCAATACTGCATAATTCTTGAGCATCCACTGGCACCTTGTATGCTAATTATGTACATCCATCCTGCAACAGCAGCTGGCAAAGCATAGTTCTGTCCTGTCTTTCTATGGCTTTCCACTGCAGGTATTCACAGCCTAATCCCTAGACCCCAATGTGCTTTCACTTTAATGGACTTCTAGCTTTAAGTGTCTTCAAGGTATCATAAAAAGCCTATACCCAGTGAATTATAAAATAGCTACACACAATGCATTTCCAGTCTGTAGAGACTATTACTACTAAGACAAAGAGGGTGGAGATGGTTCAGAAAACAACGGGATAATCAGACAAATGAAAAAGATATTCCATTAAAGCCCAACCACTCTGGTAGCAGGGGACATGTGATTTGGTGTTACTCTTTGGTGAACACACTAGGCTGCACACACACACCTTCAGCTGCACTGGAAGGCAGTTAGGGAAAGTACAAAACCAATACAAGGTATTTTTAAACATAATTTTCCTTGCAACTCAGCCAGCATGCAAAATAAAGATGGGGTGGGCAGCAAGCAAAGAAGGCAGTTACATTTAAAATACACTGCAGCGCTGTGTCCAACTCAGAAGCAGCCTTAGCTGATGCACTTTGGAGAACAAAGTCCAATAACCCAGGCAGGAACAATGCAGCCACAGTCAAGACGTGTCTCTGAATGCAGGAGTCACCTCTTTATTTTGGATGACTCACCTCTGTTGTGGTGCACTTGAGAAAGCCCCAGACGGGTGAGAGGGAGGTAGGCTAACACACACGTGGATGTATTCAGGCTGCTCACAGCCCCCTGGGCTGCTGCAAAGGTGGCTTCAAGCCTATGCACACATGGGTTGGGGGTATGCAAATTGCTGTTGTATTTTTCTTTTTGAGGCTAGACTTTTTGATTACTTAATCAAATCCATCAACACTGTGGATACTTCTACCAACTGACTGATTTACTTCTAAAACGTTATACATGAGTTATCTGACACACAATAGTGACAGAAGAAAGACTTTTACTGCCCTAAAGGCAAGTACCACTTTCATTAAAAATCATCATCTTGCTGTAAAAACCTACCTTCCTTCCCATTTACACCTGTAAAGCCCCACAAGAACTTTTTCAACTGGTATGTATTTATTTTGAAAAAAATATCCAGTCACACAGAAGCAATTAACTAAACAGGAAGCAGGAATCTTTTTACTGTATTTCACTATATTATGGAGATGCTGTACACTTGTTCAGAGGTGAATAAACCATACAAAGGTTTACATCTTACAGAGATACTGCATATGCAGGGTCCAAATCAAATCTCAATTCAGAGTTGCTGCATGACTTGCAGGAACACTGGTTTGATTCCTGGAGAGAAAAAGACTTCTTCTGCTGTTACAAATTAACAGATCAGTATTTGCCCATTACTCTTTTCTCCTCAGATGACACCTGAAAATACCTCAGATATTTTTTCTTGGTCAAAAGGAATCTACAAACACAAAAGTATCAGCCTTTATACAACCAGCTGCTAGATCCTTCTTTCCTTAAAGCACCATCACAGATGCTGTCTCTGTCCATTGGATTATAGCCCACTACCTGGAAAATTGCTCTTGATAACCAGTTATTTACTGCTATTTCTTCCAGCAATTCCAAGCAACATTAGTATGTGCTACCTTGATGCAATGTCAGCTTGGAAATGCAGCTTCTTTCAAGGCTGCTGCTTTGGGCATTTGATGCTTCAAAAAGAAATCAGGCTGCTTATTTAGGCACCACATCAGCAATCTTACAAACACTGAGAGCAGCTTATAACTTCATTTGCTGTTTGTAGATTTTTGTTCACCAATGACTTCAAAATAGATGGTAATATAGTGACTAACTGGGGGCAGAGAGGGGGAGGAAGTCTCCAATTAAAAAAATGCCAAATGAAATGCAAAAAGTTACCAAAAGCCAATGCTGAAGCCCAAGCTCTTGCAGACTACAATACAACATTTAAGTACTACTCTGTTTATATACATATCCTTGGCATTATTTCTTTCATCCTCACCCGTGTTGTACAAACACTAACTCATGAATAAAGTTGTAGAAAAGTTGTATTGTCCAAAGAAACCTTAGGGCTTCTGGAGAGTCTGCTCTAACTTACCAGCATTAAAATATACTGGTTAAGAAAGCTGTAATATGAGTAACTATACTGAAAATGCCTCTGCTTTAATCTGAAACTCTATTATAAATACTCACTGACAGAATTACTTACATGATCTATTTAAACAAAGCTATTGAAATTAATATCCTGGCACCCCAGGCACACTCAAAATACTTGAAAACATGCAGTGATCAGGATGAAGGACTCTCCTCCAGCACTGAAAATATGCAAACATGATGTGCTGTCAAGGAAACACGACTCCCTCTTTTTTTGGCCATGGGTGACGCACGGCATTCTCCTCTAAGGGAATTCCTTTTGGTTTCCAGAAGATTAGTCACAGTGCTGAGCAAATGCCTATAGCTGCAGCACATTTCTACACCTCAGGGTATCATTGCAATCCTTTCCTCAAAGTCTTCCTACTCAAAAACAAGTAGCATTGGGTTTCTCTTTTTAATTCCATATACCCAGGAGTAATTTAAGTCTTCCTGGCAGTCTTTTGCAACACTGCAAACTTGCAGATAGGTCCCCTGCCTGGTGATGAATTCCTGTTCACCCTGAGCCATCGTGACCACATTTAATTTGCACGGAGCTTCACTTCCCAGCTTAAATTTACATTGCCCACAAAATCCCATCTGCTTTTGCAGTGGGGAATGTTGAGGCTTTCCCAAGAACCGCTAAGGGTCATCTGCCTGCAAACCAGTGAACCTATGGCTCTGCAGCAAGGCAGATGGGATAGGCAGATCGCAGATCCATCCATGCAAAATGCACCTCAGGTTTTCACCTGAGGAAGGGAAGCTGCTTACTCCAAAATCAGCTTGAAGGGTGCTTTAGGGGTAGAAAGGTTTTTAGAATTACAGTCAGTTTCTGGACCACCCCTGCACAGAACTAGAACTGCAGCTATTACAGACACAGGTCACCTGGCTGCCACTATCAAGAGAGAGGGTCCCCAGAGCAGAGCATCAGTGAGCACAGTGACCTATTTCTGCTGAGCTGAGCACAGCATAGGGCTGAGGCATCCATTCAGTGCAGAACCTGGTAATTTTTAGGAAAGGGGAAAGAGGAGAAAGTGAGGAAAATGTGAAGAATTACATTCAGCAATCAGAGACTCAGTGAAGTGTTTAAGCAAACACTTGGCCTCACAACACTGTCCTACAAAAGCTTAATTACATGCCTTTTCTCGAGGCCTGAGATTTTCCAAAACCCTCATGCTTTCTATCAGCCAGTGCATAAGCCTAAAGTTAACAACATTGAGATATGCCATTTGACTTCTCTTGCTTTTCTGTCACCTTCTTCAGCATACAGCTACACCAAATCTTGCTTCAGCTAGACTCACAGACATTATTATAAATAGCCCATGCAATAACCCACTCAATCCCAAACCATTTCAAGCAACATTAAATAATTCCTTTCTCATGTCCTTTTAGTTGACAAACTCTTCCTCTTTGCTCTTGAGATAAGATCCCACAAACCTATTATGGCCCACAGGGAAGTTTTATGGAACACTTAAATATCTAAGAGTAGAGCATGAATACAAGTAACTGAAGTGTTTACTAACAGACACAAGAACAAACACAAGGACAAAACCACTTGGGCCACCAAACTTGTCCGCCAAAATTGTATCTGCAAACCTATCCAAACAAGCCTTGCTCATAAATCTATTCTGCTCTAAGAGATGGGCAAAAAATGTGAGCGTAGGACTAAAAAAACAAACAAAAAATGCAGCTGAGCTGTGCTAATGGTACCTAGTACCTGAGAGGGAGCACTCCCCATCAGCTGCCTGCTCTTCCCATCCCTCACCTCAGTCTCCCCTTGTGCTGCTGAAAGGGCACGCTCATCACCATTCACACCCTGTTTTTCCTTCGGCACTTGCCAGATGATGGGGTGAGTAACAATAA